CATTATCAGTGTCAGTCCAATCCATTATAAGTGGAACAGAAAGGGTTACACGGATTTGTTTCTGTGATTTCAAGGGGTCAGCATTTTAAAGGCTGCCATTGCTGTCTTCTCCTGAAAATACTACTTCCCTGGTTGTCATGCTGATCCAGTGGCTTCAGTTCTGCCTTAGCCACTGACCCAGAAACAATATCCAGATGAGGAGTTCGCTTTGACATTGACAATTTACATGCTTGTTCCAGGTCAGTGACTCAAATTCTAACAGCCAGGCAACTAGACTTTGAGGTCTGCCTCATCATTGCTCCAAATACTGGTTTATTTGAGGCAGAAATTAAATAACTGTGATAAAAGCGCAAACTCTGTGTCATTCTCATCCTTGGCATACATTTTGCAGTCGGTAAAGCCGAGATAGTGGCCACCTATATAGTTAATGAACAATGGCAGATACTATATTTTAATCCTGGCACGTTTCAGGCCAGAGCTCTCTGTTAAGTCGGCGCTGACCTGTTTCTTCTCCCACAGAATGGACCTCTCCCTTTGAAGTACCGCGTGAGACCCGCTTACAAGAGGATGAAGATCAGCCACCCTGCCGACAGAATGAACAGCCTGAGCGGGGACCTGGAAAGTGACTCTGGCAGCGACAAAGCAGGGAGCCCCGCAGGTGGGGTGCCCTCCACTTCGGCCTGCATGCCAAAGCCCAACACCCCCGTACAGTCGCCGCACCCTCAGTTCCCCCACATCTCCACCACCATCAACGGGAACAGCTCCACTCCCAGTACCAACCACCAGAACCCCTTCACCAACAGAGCCAGGAAAATGTCCCTCAACGGTTCTTCTGCCACTTCCTCCGGGTGAAGGAGAGCTTCTGGGGCTACACCAATAGAGACCAGCACACACAACGTAACTAGGATCTTCATACCATTACAAGCTTTATAGATGCTAATATCCTGTGACTGTCCCAATCGCCTACTTTTTTTTCTTCTAGTAAATCCTCCACATGGCCATGGAAGCGAGTCAATGTGGTGTTTTTATCTGGATATTTGGTTTCCATTAAAAAAACAACAGACTTTCAACGTGATGTGTCTGATGGAAATATGAAACCTGAAATTGAGGACAAGCTGGATCTACAGTGGTTGACTAAGTGGATTTAATTGTGGACCTGGAAAGTCACACTGGAGGGGAGGATCCGTGTTGTGGATATAAAGAAGAAGGTTGCCCCTTGAAGGTTGTGGTTTATCTCTGGGAGCTCACCTTTTGGACCATTTTGGTTGGGAGCTTCTGTCTTGGGTGAAATTCTGCTCTGGAAATTACAATATTCTGGATGTATTATAAAGACAAGGCACACAGCAAAGTATGCTTGCTTTGGAGCCAGGACAACCATGGATGTTTCCTTATCTCCAGGCTAACTTCACCACAATCCTTTTTTTTTGTTGTTTGGTTATTATAACTTTCTTCTGTGGACCTAGAGTTTTTTTTATTTTCCCTCATCTTCTCAAATCTAAGTGCTTTATCATCCAACGGAAAGGAAATACATAGACTGTTCTATGTAGCCATTTCACTGTGAATAGTGATTTATTGTGTTAGCCTTCTCTTTTTTTTTTTCTGCATTGTTGCAAGACCCCTTTGCTGCCAGAAGGAGGGGGTGGGGGTCAGCTACTCTTTATGTCCCACCCATCTGGCGTCAAAGGGGACATGTGCTGCTGCACAGAATCGATCAAAGTTAGATAAACTTTCATTATTTTTTTTTACTATTTTTTTTTTGTCTAAAAAAAAAAGAAGAAAAAAAAAGCGGGTACTACCGTTTATTTTACTGACTTGTTTAAGTGATTCGCTTTTGTAAGAATCAGTTGGCATTATGCTGGTTGTAAAATGCCATATTGGTATATTGACATAACAGGAAGACAGTATTGTATGATATATTTATAAATACTATAATGAAGATTTTTTTTTGTGTTTTTCATGCACACACATAAAAAAAAAAAGATTGTTAAACTCTCAAAAAGTCTATTCAGTTGTCCAGCTGCAAATAGCACATGTTTTAACATCTCCAGAAGTGTTTTCTTTATTATTATAATCATTTTAGCCCTCTGCCACCCGTTGTGATACTATGTAATAATGGTACAGCGTTTGAGTGTGAAAAGGAAATATCACGTGTGTGAAAAAGGGCCAATCAGAACGCAGCTCTGGTCACTAGCCTGTCTGAGGTGTTTGCTCCACACAAATTATACCCCATGTTCAGGCAGTTGAAATGTATTGTCCAAATTATGCAATGAGTTGGGAGCAGGCAGACACACCAGGAATCATTTAAGTAGCTCACACTTGTTTTCGTTCTATAATTTTTATGTTTGCCCTTTTCTTACCCTATCCTCCCTACACACACGTTTATTCTTTAAGAATAATTAATGTTTGTATTGAAAGGAAAAAAAAACGTGGCTAATCATTTAATTGTCTCCAGTCTGCAAAGGAAGCACAAATCTCTGCTTTGTCTTGCTTATAGTCATTAAATCATTACTTTTGCATATATCTATGCGGCTGTTCTTGTTTTATTTGATCTTTTTCCAAGTTGCTTGCAAGAGTGCTCAAATTGGGAGGTTTTATTGTGTTTTTTAGTCATTATATTCTTTTTATTGTGTTTTTTTTTTTGTGTGTGTTTTTTTGAGAACAGCGTTTTTTTCCTGGAATATTAGCTTTGCTAATTGAGCCTCTGCTGTAATATGCTAATCATTAGACGTTTGACTTGAATCTTGCTGAGACACTTTTGTGTATCACTGCGCCCCCACAATCTGACGCATGTGCAGCAAGCTCATTTTGTGTTTGTTAAAATCCCTATTCATTTTACATGATTGGGAAATAGTTCTGAAACCTTTGACTTCTATAGAGAAAAACCTACCTTCTGAAGAGCTTGCCCGGGGTGAAAGCTCTGGAAGCAACACTTAATTATTCAGAGATATGTGAATTTATAAACATTGATTATTGCAGACATTTCATTTTGTGTAATGTTGTGCGCTGCTGCACTTCCAATTCTACTTGTGTGATTGGTAGAAAAATAAATCTAAAGATGAACTCCCCGAATATTCGTCTTCACCAGCCTCTCCTCTACATAGCTGTGATAATGGTAGGGTAGTTTAGGGCTAATCATTGTCCCTTCCCATAGTGAGCCTGTAATGGTCTGAAACCTCTGATCTTGGTAATGGGGGATTTACAAACGTCTGTCCCCTCACACTGAATGAAATAAGCACATGTTCAGCTGCTGAGGGAACTGCTCTTTTATACTGTTAATAATTCACCTCATTCCCTGAGTTCCTGGTCACACTTGTATGCAGGCCTAGGTAGTTAAAACCAAAATATATGCAGATACATTTAGACTAAAGGGCCCGGTATGTAAATTGTGCTATGTTTTTATAGTTACCAATAGCAACCTGTTCCATTATTTTTACAATGAATTGTTGCTATGGGCAACTCTGCAATCTCCCTTTTAGCTCACTTTCCATGCCTCAAGCGCTACATGTCTCCTGTCCTTATTAGAAGTTAACAGACAGCCACCCACTACACAAAAATAGTCTCATCCGCTTATTGCTGGCCAGTCAGATTTTCTAAGGTCACATTACTACAATGCAGTCCTGGTGCTTTCCACATTTTAAGGCTGATTTATTAAAGGAGTTGGGAATGAAAAGTATATGCATATTCAATTATCAATTACTCATTACATTATTCATTTCAATTATGTATTTTCACATGCTTGGGTATTCAAAGTGAAGAGGAGTTTGCTTTTCACAAGATTGGCTAATTGTAGTGAATACTCATTTTTTGAGTGAAGATTTGTAACTACACTTTAGTAAATAAGTACCTCCTCTTGGAGGAAACTGATACGGAGGCCACGGTGTTAGTGGCTTTAAGGGGTTAATTTACTAGAGGAGCTGGGAATCTTCACTAGGCTTGTTCACTTTGAATATACCAAAGTAATGTGCAGAAGACAGAAACTGGGGTTTACTTTTTGCATGTTTGGATACTTGCAGGGAATCTTTAGTTTATTAAGTGAATGTTCTCATCTGCTTTAGTAAATCACCCCTCTGTTATGTACGATATAAATGCTGAGTGCTTTTGAAAACAATTGTTGAGAGGACTTGCGATGCTGGTTCTGGCTTTCTTAATGGAGAGGAGGAAACAAAGGATGACACATGAAGGGTGATTTACCAGGGTGTGTGAACAGGACTTTGCCTCAACAAAAAAAAACGCTCTTTTGCAATGCTTTTCCAGCCCCCTGAAAGCAAAAACGTCCTTCATACACATCTCCCCATTGTCCAGGTCCGGTCCATAATATCACTCCTGTTGGGGAGGTTGCATTTTGCCAGAGCCAACATTGTAGAAACATGCTACAGCTAAGTTCTTTCTGTATGGATAGAAGTAGCCACATCTTCGGTATATGAATTACTGATGGGTCATAAGGCAGAAAGAGAATGATGAGGGTGCCTGCTGCAACATTGGGCTCTGGCTAGAATCATCTAAACTTTTCCCTCCCCAGGTTCATCCCTCCTGCATGTAATGTACACTGTAATTGTGTATTCTTTGCACAGTGATTATGGTTCAGACCTCCTCCGTTCCACTTTAATCGTATGCACTGGATCAGAAATGTTTGTTGTTCCCGGGAAAGTCGAGGCTTGTCAGTGCAGTACTTCTTGATGTCCTGTCCTTTGCCCTGTTGACCTGTCTTAAAGACATGCCTGCTAATCACTATTGTCCCAAGAGGGTGTTCTCCAAAAAAGAATGTCCTCATAGTGTAAACATAAACTGTGATCTTTGGGCTTTTATGGTGGGGTATGGACTTTACATACTGCTGTATACTAATTAAAAAAAGTGTTATGTGTTGTGAAGTCTATACCCCACCAGCCCAAAGATCACGGTTTATGTGTACATTATGATGAGATTCTTATATAATATGACACTTTTTTTTTTTCAATTAGTATACAAATTTAGGGCAGGGTTAGTAAAGATTCTCAGCTTCCCATCCTCCCTTTAAACAAAAACTATGATCTTTGGACATTTTTGGTGGGCAATAGACTTTATGTGCTGGTGTCCTTACTTTTACATTAATCCATTGTTATACTATTTCAGAACATTTTTGTTGTTGCTGGTGTCCCAAATTGAATAAAGACCCCCAATATTACCGTACCCGGTGCCCTTTCTATGTACATTTTCTTTCTTTTTTCCCCTAGAGATATTTTTGTTTTTTCCTAGTCGAAAATCTCCCCCGATTCTGGTCTCGGTGATTGTGCTGATTAGAAGCGTCCAAGGATGGCCATGACCAAATACCGAGAGCGGTCCTATCCATCCTGGGTGCCATGTCCCCTTTATCCCTAGACATGTTTACAGCCAGAAGTGCTTCCTGTTTCCGCTGCTCGTACAGAGCACTTGCTGCTATACCTCCTCTACTACAAGCGGATTTCCTCTCCATTATTGAGAGCTGCTTTGCCTGGTTGCCTATTCCCAGCGTCATTATTCGATGATGGCAGACAGGCGGCATCAAGCAGCTTTCTTTCCTGCAACAGCAATTATTCAAATGAACGATGTGTCACTCTCCTCTGAATGATGATTGCAGATCGCTTTTTATTTTCTGTTTGCTTGTTATCAGCAGCGTTTAGCCTCCCTCTGTGAAGCACACGGAGACAGTGGAGGGAGAAGGATTGTGTGCTGCACCCGTGTACGTTCAATCCCACCCAATGGTGTCTGTGTCACTGTGTGCTGTACCCCCGTACACTGTGATCATACCCAATGGTGTCTGTGTGCTGCACCCCCGTACACTGTGATCATTCCCAATGGTGTCTGTGTGCTGTACCCCCGTACACTGTGATCATACCCAATGGTGTCTGTGTGCTGCACCCCCGTACACTGTGATCATACCCAATGGTATATGTGTGCAGCACCGCCCTACAACCCCCCGTGTTGCACCCGTGTACGTTCAATCCCACCCAATAGTGTGTGCTGCACCATTGTACATTGTAATCCCACCCAATGGTGTCTGTGTACACTGTGATCCTATTATATCTGTGCTGCACCCGTGTACGCTTCAATGCCACAATTATGCCTGTGTGCTGCACCAGTATACATTGTATTCCCATCCAATGGTATATGTGTGCTGCACCCCCCGTACATTGTGATCCAATCCCAGTATATGTGTGCTGCACCCTATTACGCTTCAATC